CTATTTTACATGAAAAAAATTGGCCAAAATACCCCGAAAAGTTTTGGGGGTATTTTTGTCAATTTATTTTCATGGATAGTTTTTTTATAGTTTTTTTTAGATGTGCCTCAGTAAGATGTACATACCTTCCAAATTTCAGGTCATTCCTATTTGTAGAAAAAAAATGAAAAGTAAAACACCACTGGACAATTGTGACTGCACGATGAAATTTGGACGGTGATGAAGGTAGGCGAAATCACTATTCATTTTTCGCCTATAGGCGTTCGAAAGAATTTTCCTATATATATATATATATTCAATTGCCAACATATTAGCCAATCAATCCAAGCCCAATTCCTACCAGGCTCTAATTTCTGGAATATTATTGTTTGCTTTTTCAAATAGTTAAGAGAAAGCTAATGACAAATGGGTATGGTATTGCCTCCTGCCTCACCAAAGTAGCATTGCCTCTCCCATCTATGTTTAGTTTCCATTCCAAACCTCCTTTTTCAAAAATCTTGGACTGGGAATAACATCTTGATGTGATTTCAAAGCTGAAATTATTCTTAGTCGCACAGTCTCTGTTCTTAGACTTTGAAATCTCCCAAGTAGTGAAGAAGCCAAATAATATCCTGCTTTCAGACTATGCTTAAATAATTTCCTGTCTAAACACTTCTGTCTCTAAGTAATTTTATCCTCTAAAACCAAAGATGTCCATTGTTGCCAATTATCAATGTTATTCCATTTTGAACATTTCAAGATACTTGATTATTAGCATTCCCATGGAGTATTGATTAATTCACCGTAGCGATTTACATTCTTTGATGGAATTTCGTGGCTATGCTCTCTTTGTTTTGTCTTTAGGGGATGATGTTGTGAGCATATGCTTGAAGGTTCGAATCATAGGTTGCCCACTCAATGAAAGAAAAGAAATCCATGGGTTTCAAAATTTGTCAACTGTCTTCATTTGTCTTAGACAGAGAGAAGATGCTTCTGTTCATGTCTATACCTACACCTGAGCTATCACATAGGGAAGGGATTTTTCTAACAACTCTATTTGCATCTAATTTTGGTTTCTATAACTTATTGAAGGTTTCTATACATTCATTTGTTCATTTTGCTTGAGGAAAGATCTGCTAAACGAAACGAACTGGAAACTTCATTGGGAACCTGGGACCATAATTTGGAAGTCAAAGGAGCACTCTCACTTTTAGTGGTGACTACTCTTATGTGCAATTAGGAGTACTTCAGGAGATGAATTCAGAAGATTCAAAAAATTTGAACAAGGGAAAAAGAAAATTGCATCTGAGAAAACTGAGCCATGTGCATAAGCTAAGGTATATTATGTATTTGAGGTATTTTTGAAGTTCTATATGGAATTGAATTTTTGTTTTGAAGATTTCTTGTTTCCTAATGGAATAAATGTGATGATAGTAATCAAAGATTACTCCCTTTTATCTTGCTAACAGTATTGTTTTTGGCAAGTCAGGAAAGTCAGTTGTTTTTTCCCTTCAGAAAATTTTACTTGATGGGTGAGAAAGGTGTACTAGTCGCACACTGCAGTAGTAGAATTATTATTAGGGCATGGTGTCCAAATACTTAAATCTATATCCAGTGATACCTGCTTTGGCTTGATATCCTGCATTCAAATTAGCTTTCTCTATTGATAAGTTGAAAGAAATCGATTTGCCCAAAAAATGTTGAAAGATATCTCCAGAGTACCTGTTTAGTCTCTGGTTTCTTCACATTTTGTTTCTTTCTCCATGTGTTTGGGCCTTCTGTACCGACCCAATGAATAACAATCAAGTAAACCTCTTCCACGAGGCATAGACAGATAAAGACTTGAAGAAAATCTGAACTTCACTGGAAAGAGCTGCGAAAACCTTTTTCCTTGGATCTACACACCTATTCGATCCTGCAAATTTCTATTAATATGCTGAGTGTGCTCAGATTATCTACTTTCCAGACCTTTGGATCCAGGGTTCTTGGATGACCAAGGATCAAAATTAAGCTTCAGCATTTTCCCCAAAAATACTACTTTACACTTCTCTGTGTGTATGTTACTAAACCTTGATCCAGTATAGTCCTCTGATCTCACTCATCTTAAATTTTCCTTTACAAGGAGGTTTATCAACTTCATCTTTATAGTTTCTTCTATGGTGACCCTACCTGCCTCTTTATCCTCCTAAAATCCTATTGTTATATTGTGACCTTATGCTATCCCGAAGGATAGTGAATGGATAGAATCATTACAGAAAGTCAGCCAACCCCAGAAGGATCCTAAACCAAAAAGAAGTTTGTTGTGGCAAGTCTCATTACAAGAAAGTTATCAATGAGATCAGTTTCTCTGTAGTTTTTGAAGCATATGTACTTTTTTGGGTGGAATGGGTAAAATCTCAAGAAAGTACCTGAGGAATTTAAAAAGAAAAACAAACAGATTCAAAAATAAAAGTAAAAGAAAAGGAGAAAACTAAAGCATACTGAAGAAAATAAAATAAAACTTTCCTGTGGTTTTAAAATTTAAGTTCTTTAAGCTTGTGGCCTTCTGATGAGACAGGTGTGATACTGGTCGAAGTGCTCATCAAGCCACACTCTTGAGTCCTTAACTGTTATATTACTCAATGGGGTCCGGTGAAGAGGTGACCCCTGTTAAGTCTTCGAAGGCTGCTACTTCAAATCAGGTACTTGGCCTAATATTTCCCGTTTTCTGACTGGCTTCTCAAGAAGGCATCACCATGTTAGTTTAAACATATCGGACTAAAGTTGAATCTTGCTTCTTTTCTTAGCAGGAGCTTCCTTCTACGCCTTCATATCCTGACTGGGCAACTATGCAGGTGCATCTTAATGTGATTGGTGCCTGTCTTCTGAATAAAAACTTCCTGATTTGCTTGTTACTTATCCGGAAAACTTTGTTTTGAACTGCTACTGATCGGTAATGGTTACAGGCATACTATGGGGCAGGTTCTACTCCTCCCCAGGCTTTTTTTGCATCCACAGTTGCTTCTTCTCCAACCCCTCTTCCTTACATGTGGGGCCAGGTGAATCTCCTCCCCCCCTTCCCCCCCCCACCCACCCAAAAAAAAAAATATCAGTCTTGTTTTCTTCACTTATTTATCTCTGGAAAGTATACTATAATCAAATATATTATGGAAAACCTTTATATCCATTTGGGGCATTCCACTCTTTCTCCATCACTACCGATTTCATTGTACGGTGATGACCCCCAATAAATTATGATATTAGTCCATTTGATGGTATACTTTTCCACTTATTATTCCTCTTTTGCTGATTACTTTCTTATACTTTCAGCACTTAATGCCACCATATGGAACACCACTTCCATACCCTCCAATGTACCCCCCAGGAGGAATGTACCCGCATCCACCGATGACACCGGTAATCATACTAAAATCATTATCATAACGTCCAACATAATAATATTAAACTAGAGGTTATTACTCTAATTCTATGTCTAAGAATATCGATCGTTATATGATTCATGTGGTCATAGCAGCATTATGACCATAAGTTTTGGCGATGAGGTTATCACCATTCCCTTCAAGGATTGGATGAAGGAGGGAGTGGGATTCCACCAAGTCATTAGTTCATCTGTATGTTCCAGTCTCCAACCATCACCATCCAACCTATTGATTCAACCGTGGTATCCACGTGGTCATGCTGTTATCTTGACCATATGGATCACACTACGTGTTACCTTGAAATATCCCTTCTCTTCAGCTCGAGTATTTATGCAAATAGCCGGTTCTATTCTTGAATACCATGTTTTGCTACGTGTAATAGACTTATTATTGTACTCATGGGAAATAGGGAACAGTAGCAAGTGCAGCTGAATCTGAACGAAGGGCTTTAGAAGGAAAAGAGCGTGGGCCGATGAAGAGGTCAAAGGGGAGCTCTGGAAATTTGGGTTTGGTCAGTGGAAAATCAAGGGATGGTGGTAAAGCAACATCTGGTTCTGCAAATGATGGTTCACAAAGGTGGTTTTTTAGTTGGATATTCCTATAAGCATGCCCTTGTCTAATTAGTTTTTCTTAGGGCTGTACAAGTTCTTACTTTTTAAATCCCTTAAGCATACGGGTTAATATTTTGATCCTTCTTTGCATGTTTACAGCGGAGAAAGTGGTAGCGAGGATTCGTCAAATGGAAGCGATGAGAACAACAGTCAAATTGTATATCTTTGCCTTCTCTCCTGCTTTTGTACCTACTGTTTATTACTAGGCTTTAGAAGTTGTTCTGGGAGGAGAAAATTGTGATTTTTGTCATTGTATATGGAGTTAATGTAGTATTAACAACCTGTGTTACTGTGTAAAATTCTAGGATATGCAGGCTGCTAGGAAGAGAAGTTTTGATCAAATGCTTGTTGAAGGTGCTTATTTCTCTACTTATTTATAGCTTAATTGGATGATTTCTGTCCATTCGAATGATTAATTCAATTAATTTGCTCGTGTTGTCGAGTTAACTACTTATTTAACTTAATTGGATGGTTCCTGTCTAGTCAAATGATTTCTAATTTGTTCAGGGGCTCAGCAAAATCATGGTGCTCAATATGGTGAATCATATCCAAATGCAAGGGGCCAACCTGCCTCGAATATTCCAGGCTCCATGACAGGGAAGTCAGGCGTAACTGCTCCCACAACTAACCTAAATATTGGTATGGGTATGGACCTTTGGAATGCATCTCCTTCGGGAACTGTCCCTATGAAGCCTAGACCAAATGCACCTGGTACCTCCTCCGCAATGATTTCATCAACCATGGTTGGGCGCGATGGTGTTCCATCTGATCTATGGATTCAAGTATGCCTCTGTGTGTGTGTGTGTGTGTGTTCTACTTAGTGTTGTGTACATCATATCCTTTCATGAGGCCTCGGTGCATGGCTATCCAAACTAGTCTAAAGCCCTCCATTAATTTTTGGAAGTTGAGTATCCTATGCAACACTGTATATGGTTTTGCTTGTGACTGCTGTTATGGTTTTTGATAGGATGAGCGTGAGTTAAAGAGGCAAAGGAGAAAGCAATCTAATCGTGAGTCGGCTAGGCGGTCAAGGCTGAGGAAGCAGGTACAGTTCTGCTAAAGGCTACTATGTACTAGTTACCTTATCAAATGGTTAACCTCTTTCGTTCTGATGCATTTTGGACTTGTTTTGAGGATTCATATGCTATATGTTTCTTTAATGTGTTAATACATATGGGAACAAGAAACTTAAGTGACTATCCAGTTGTGGCCTCCTACCACATTGACTGGAACTGTTCACCATTTTTTGGGGCTCATGCCGAATGATGCGTTCAAAGAACTGACGGATCTATGAAAACTTGAAAATTGACGGTCGTATAATGCATTACAAGATGCACTATTTCCAAAACTTGAAATCCATTTTTTCTCATGTCCATGTATCTTGAGGTCAAGATGGTCAATTTGAGGATTTTTGGGCATCAAAACAACCTCTTCTAGTGAGATTTTTGAGGTGCGCTTTAATTTGATTGTTTAGAGTCTCCCACTTATATAAACTTTTTCCTTTAAAGAAAGGGTTTATATTTATCCATTTGAAGGCATGTGTATATTACATGTAGTATCTTCCAGTGAGTATATCTTCAGTTCAAGTAGCTACTGCAGACTTTGGTAAGAGCAAATCCTAGCAAAAAAATATGGAGCATATCAGTCTAAGTTCACCATGAAAAAGTTGTATATAAAAATACGCACTAAATTTTGAATGTTATTTTGTAATATGCCATATTTAATTGACAACTATATAGAGGCAAATGAAAGCCTAAAACATTGTTAGTATTCTATTTCATGATCAAAAAAGGTATCAAGCCAAAAAGGTAATATGATAGCCAAAAATAAATAAAAGTTTTGACTGAGGATTCAAGTATGCTTCTATTCTATAATATTTCCACCACCAGGCCATTGAGAGCAGAGTTTCCTGTACTTCTGCTAATACAACTATTAATATTTACTCAAAGAAAAGAGAGCAGAGTTCTCTATGACTATATTGTTTCTACTTAATAGTTGTGTATTAATCCTTGAACTTTCTTGGTTATACCATTCATTAGAATCCCAAATCTCAGAGAACTTATACAACACATGTTGATCTCGATCTGCTTCCTTCAATGTATATACTTTTAGCTCAATGAAAAACAGAATTTAGAATAATATGCATGGATTTGAGTGCTGACATGTGTTTTAACATTCGAATTCATCAACTGGAGAAGAAAAACCTCTCATCGATAGTCCCTCTCTGAAACCATTTGTGTTCACATGCAAATTGTTATAAAGAAAACTGTAATCAAATATAAAATTGTTATTCATACCAAGTATTAAATGTCAAATTGAAATTTAAGTTTTTTCAATGACGAAAGTCCATTAATGTTATTTAAAAAAAAGAAAAAAATTATTACATATAAGAAAAAGTAAGGATAGTTATTGTTGTTGATAGGTGATGGTGTCAATTTCGAAGCTTCTTTGAAATGTTTAGTGTAACTAATATTTAGCCAAGGTTACCAATACTCCTGCATAAGGTCAAGAATCCAGGGCTAATCATTCTAACTTTTGTACGATGACACAAAGTTATGAACTTAAGTTTTTTATCTGTTACATATGTATTTATCTTCACATGTACATGCATACATAAATGTATGTATGCATGTATGTACATGTTTTGTTTATTGTTAGTGAAAAACCTATTTGGAATCACATGATTCTTCAGGAGTTCTAAGTTTCTAGCAATTCCGCAATTATAATCTCTATATTTTATTGAGTAATGCAAGAGTTTCAATTCCCTCATACTTGGGAAAAGCTAAATATGATTTGTACTTCTTTCAGGCTGAGTGTGAAGAACTAGCATCTAAAGTGGAGCAACTTAATAATGAGAACATGACACTCAAGAATGACCTACAGAGGCTTGCAGATGAATGCGAGAAGCTCACTTCCGAGAATGCATCCCTAATGGTGGGCTCTCCTCGCCCCCCCAAAAAAAAATAAAGGAAAAAAACAATGGATGCCAATGAAGGTTTTTGTACTGAACATGATCATCTCTTTCTATGAATGCTAATGAAGGTGATTGTCTTGGACAGGATCAATTAACTAAAATATATGGACCAGATGCTTTGGCTTCAATACAAAGCATTGACATGAACCCAGTCGGTTTTAAGGCCACTAATGCGGAAAGCAATGGCCACTTACACGATGCGTTGAGGGGAAACAACTCAATTTCTAATGGAAAGCTTGGATCAAATTCAAACTGAACACCTTTTCTCTTTCCTTTTCTTTTTCTTCAATTTTCCTCTGGTTTTACTTGGAGGGCCTGATCATTGTCACGGCTGGTTTTTTCTTCTCCCCTAATGTATGTAATATATCAAAAGCCACTGGCGTGCTAATTACCTTTTATGTGACTTAATGTAACATCAGGCAGGATCACCATCTGCGTAAAATGGGATAGGTGTGAATAATATATATTATTGTATTATGTGGTATTGTTTATTTTATATTATATATTATTGGAATTGTATGTTATCAAACTGTTTATCTGTCATACAAAAAGGTCATAATCACCCCAAATTGTCATAAGTGAAATTAGGAAATTAGGGGTGTTTTATATTTTTTGAGGCTTGAGAGATTTTTTGAATGCGATTCATAGTGTAACTTTTAGTTGTCAAATTTTATTACGTAACAGTTATGGGTGATTATAACCTTTTTGTAATAAATTTAAATGATCTTATTGCATACTTTCTCTTATTGGAATGGTTTGGATAAAAGTATATATATTTGTGATTAGGGGATCTTGATTTGGAAAAACTCTCAAGTGGAAAGGAAAGGAAAGGAGAGAGAATATTTTATTGTTTCAAAAAGTGCAAGGGAAATAAATGATTACATTCTTTTGTAGTTTGGGTAGTTGCATGAATTTGTGGAATCCATTGTTTTACAAATAGGTAATGTTTGCACATGATACCTATTTGAGATTATAATCATTTTGAGATTAGTAAGGGACTTATTACCGTAGTTCTATGGTGTGAGATTTTGTAAGCATTCTAAGCATATGTAACATGTATAACACGTAAATTGAAAGAGAGAGAGAGAGAGAGAGAGAGAGAGATGCTTCAGTACATGTACTACAAACTATAAATCAATGGTATTGCAAAATGTCCTATCTTACTAAGAAAATAAAAGGCAAAACAAGAACAGTTTTTCTGTGCTCTTGCTTGTGCAAAATGTGCATATATTTCCTTGTACAAAAGACCCAATTTGGGATATACTTTAAAATCACTAGACAAGTAGTTCCAATAATTTTTATAAGTTCATATCTGGCCATCTCAAAACTGGATGGCCTATGTTCAAATTTGGGGCATGAATATTTTCGGCACTTCTAGAAGACATATGCAATTTCTTACATGGCTACAACATGTCGTTTCTTCACAAAACGTTTGAGGATTTTAAATATAATGAGTGTTAAATCTTAGTTGTTTCATTTTACATTTGATAGTTAAAAATAATTGTATGCAGAAAAACAATTTTATTGCTTTTCCTCTCTCTTATTTTACGTCATTTGGGTTACTAGAAATTATCCTCAAAATTTAAGGTCCAAGAGATACACCAAAATTAGTCTTTGCCATAGGTATCAAGTTAAACAGTTTTTTAGTCTTTTACAAATGTTTTTTTGCAGTAACATGTCTTTTTACTTGTATTTAATCTTCAAAGCAAGCAATGAATATTCTAGCTCCCCTAAATGACACTTTTTTCCGTTTTTCTTCTGCAATTCTTTTCTTTTCATTTCTAAGCACGTAGACAATGCTACATAGTTTACTTCTACTCCCTCGATAAGATAATCTACTTGGTATCCACTTTAGAATCCCTAGATGATTATTCATGAAGAAAATTCAATTTGTTTTTAATACCGAGATCTCACCTTCTAAATATTGGACATTATTTATTAATTTTGAGACATTATTTTTTTCAAATGCTTAGAGGGTACAATTAATAAATTTTTATTGAAATTAATCTATGTGTTAAAAAGCTTATAGCCCCAAAATTGAGGGTCTAATGGGGTTTTACGCGGGAGAGTAAATAGACAGTATACTCCCGGGGTGGTACAATTATCTTTTGAGTTCCTCTTTTATCCTTCTCTCTCCTCACTTTCTCCCACTTTAGTTTTTATTTATTATGACTTTATCGCGCATTTTTTCTCTCTCTGTAGTTTTTAAAGAGCAAAATGCAGGCCGGGCTTGCTTCAGTCTATGTCAGGTGAGCTCCCCTCTCATGGTACGTCAACCAAAAACTAGTTATTTAACGTGGAATAAATTAATAAATTAGAGAAATACAGTTATAATTATAGTGAATTGTCCACTTAATTATTCGTTGAAATTTGTTAGTATAATAATTCCTTTCCATATATTTGTGCATTTTCGGTTATAATTTATCTAAGATTGAAATGCATTTATTGCTATCATGGAATTTAAGCGCTTTCTTTTTGACAAGAGTACTTAACTGTTATTAGAAGAAAGGAATTTAAGCGCTGTTACTCCTTATTTTCTCAATCTTGAATGATAATCAATGTTGGTGTTTTCAGGAAGTTTCATTTTAGGGTTTGAAAATCTTTGCAAAATGTAGAAGGCCATCATGCTATGTTTCTTTGATGAAATACCCATAATTTTGTTCTTATTTTGATCTGCTAGCATGCCTTATTTTGGCAACATGTGGATGATTTTTAATCCATTTTATTGAAATATTTACTCTAGAGTGGATGGCTAAGCTCACTTAACTGTATGGTTTTTATTATTTTTCAAAATTTATTTTTTCTTTTCTTAGAAGATCTGCAAAATGTAGATAATTGTAATGCTTCATAAGATTTTAGGTCTTTAAAATTGTCCACAATGGAATATGGATTGACAAAGACCCTGGCTTGTATTGAAATTTAATGGACAACCCCTTGTGCTGTCATTTAAGGATTTTATGCTGTGTTGGAAAACTCAAAGAGTCCAATTTGGACTCAGCTGACTTACTCGGACTCAGAGGCTATCAAGTCCAGAATAGAAGTCTTGGGAACTGATTGAGTCTCATCAGTTCCCAAATCCGAAGGATTTATTGTTATTTTTTTAATACTCGGCTGATTTGAGTTGCCTAACTCTAGCTCAAGACCGTAGTGAGTCTGGGCTAAGATCCTTGCTATAAGACACTGATTTTATGTATAACATGTTGATTAAGAGAAAAGAGTGAGAGTTAGGAAAATAGAGAAGGGCGCACTCATGTTTCAATTTAATGGGTGCATTAATTGGATGTTTTCTACATCGTCTTTTTGAATAACATCATCATCATCATCAGAGCCTTTTTCCAACTATTTGGGATCGGTTATACGAATCTTGGTTTGCTATTCTGCTCTATAAATAACCATACCTTTAGTGAGGTCATAAGTTTCCATATATTTTCTCATTACTTCCAACCATGTCTTTCTAGGTTTTCCTCAACAAAAACCATGTCCTTCTAAGCCTACCCCTTGTCCTTCTGGAGCCTTCAACTTGACCCAACTCGTACCTCTTAATAGGTGTTGTACTAGGTCTGCATTGCGCATGGCCAGCCCACCTAAGTCTAATTCCTCTCATCTTATCGCTTATTAGAGCCACACATAAATTCTCCCTAATATATTCATTTCGAATTCTTTCCCTTCTTGTCTTGTCACTCATCCATCTCAATAATATTTTTTTTAACACTCATCCTATGGGTATGTTGTTTCTGGACCGCCCAACATTCTGCCCCATAAAACAAAGCTGGTCTCACAGTTGTCCTATAGAACTTCCCCTTCAGCTTCATTGGTATGCGGCGATCACATAAAACTCCGGTTGCACATCTCCAGTTTGCACACCCAGCTCTAATTCGATGTGATTTTCCTTAATAACAAGTTACCTTAAAAAAAAAAGCCAATATTGGGAGTTAGGATAATTGAGAAGAAGAGAAGGACTCATATTTTAACGTTATAGCAAAAATGGGACCTTGATCCATTGGGTCAATGCACATTTATTCGATACGAATCCAGTGGCTTTTGTACTATTGTATATCAAATCTCTTCTATTCTTCTCTTTCTTTAAATATTCTTATCTTTCCTAAGATAGAATCTTCCACATTTCACCATCTCATGGCTGTGTTTTTAACAGAAATGTAAGCCATGTTAATGGGATTATGTTCATTTTGTTCCTTCCTTGATTGCCTTTTCCTCCGGTTCAAATACTAATTTATGTACAACCATTTCTCCAGCTTCACAGTAGTTGGAATGTTCCTCTTTGTATGAATCAATTGGAGTGTGCTTTATTGTTCCTGCGAAACAAACTATGGAGTTATCCAGATGGAAAAGCAGAGATCGTGTTAGTAAATCGTTAGGCATAATGACACTTATTATCACTGATGTACAGCTTGTTGAAAATAATAATTCTTGTCAGCTTATATTAAAGCTTGCAAGATAATAGTATTTTAGCTTACCTGGATTGATACGCCTGTTCATCATCACTTTAGGCATTTTCAATATATATGGATACAAATTTACGAGTCGAAAGACAATACAGTCAGCTTAATAATGACAAAAATAAAATAAAATCAGCTTAATCAATCAACAACAGGTTATTTCAAAATTGAAGAGTAACACACTTATTGGGTTTTATTTGATTGCACACTCTCTTCCTTTCCCTGTATTCCAATTACTCATATGCATGATATTGCTTTTCACCAAGAAGGTTGAAAGTTCTGAGCACGATCATCTTCTAGCATTAGTAGCTTTTGATGATTTTTAAAAAAAAATAGTGGCTTTTGGATTAGAAGAGAATAAGTCTTATGTCTTTTAGTATTGCAGTACCTCATTGAAATTCCGGAGTCGAGCTATTGGCTTTTCTGAAATGAGCAGGATGCAATGCAACCAAAGAATTTCTAATTTATCGGCATCTTTATCTGCAAATTTTAACGGCAGGAGAAAAAGTAGATTGAAGGGATCTGTTGCTAAGGAGAGTAGCCAAGCTCCAATAAATAATTCTGAGAAACCAGGAGAGATGGGCGTAAATTTAGCAATGGATATCAAGGTTCAGAAATAGTTCTTTGTCTGAGTTCTCCATTAATATGCCTATGTCAGCATTTGCCCTTATGATTTCATATGTTCTTAAACCATTTCTTCACTATGGGTGATATCCAGGTGGACAAGATGGAAAGCCATGAAGGAGTTCAGGAGGCCGAGAAAGATCTAAAGAGTTTTGAAACTATGACAGTTCAAGAACTCCGAGTATTGATGAGGTACTGTTCACTTCTAATCAATAATGACCATATGACTTTAGAATTTGAATTGTTTCAGCACAAGAAAAGTTTTTGGAAGAACTTCAAATTTGGCAAATGAAAGTTCAAGACATGTTTTGGATTATGCAGTGAAAAAGAAAAGGCATGTCTTGGATCAAAACTAAAACATGCCTTCTTTAATAGATATTTAAAAGATCTAAGTCAAAACTTCTTTGGTTTAGGCATATGTTTTGGAAATGATGGCCAACATATGGGTGTTTAAACATTCCATCTGTTTTGCTCAGGGTGAGAAGCAAATTTTGGCTGAGATTTCCTGGAATTTTGTTTTATGCTTTGGTCTGGTTTATATCTGAGAATCAGTGGAACTATGATGGGTTTTCATAATCTTGAAAAAGAATTTTGCTTGTATTCTATGGATTTGCAGGAAAGCAGGTATCCCTCCTAGGGGTCGTAAGCAAGACCTTGTGTCAGCCTTGAAGCATTCTATGGAATCAGGATTAGGTGGGAGTGTTTGAAGTTTTTTGCCCCTTATAGCTCATCATATATCGTGTTTCTTATTTCTATTTGTTAAATAAGCTGTTGGGTTTTTATTACTACTCAGAAACAACATTTGCTGGATCAGGATCAGAAAGTCATAGCAAAATACCATAATGGGTGATTTGTGATAGTTTTGTGTCCCATTGAGTGCAGGTCAGAGTTCTCAACGTCTGGAAACTGAGGGAAATGCTGCCTCCATGATGGAAACTGGTCATCACAAAAGGGCAACACAGAATAGAAAGGTTAAGAATTCATCTGCCAGAGAAACTCGGACTCTTTCTCATCTTTCTGTGGACAATGTTGAGAGTTTGGAGATTATTTCAGAAGTTTCAAGAACTCACGAGGATGATTCTCATGTGGTCCTGACAAAGAATGCATCTACCACCAGAAGAAAGGAGAAGACAGGGAGTATGTCAACAGGTGAACAGATTATAGTCTTTGCTATATTCTTTCCACTCTTTTTTATCAGTTTCATAAATTTGGGTACAGTGCTGATCGGGTGGGTTATGACCTATCATTAGTCTATCGGATTATAGTGTCCTTTTGCAGGATATAATACTTCTAAACTGTTTCAGCCAAATTTCACTCTTGCAACATTAAAAATGAAGACACATAACTTGCCGAGTTCTCTAGTCAAATATTCTAAAATTTTGCTTCTGGGGCTTGCATGTCTACATTTTCTGATGCCATGTCTCATGGTGCGTTGTGGAAATTGTTTTACACTAAAATAAATGATGCCAGATATGAAGCCTACCAAAGTTAGCTACAAGAGAAAGGCAGCAGCGAGGGAGTATGAGAGAGTTGAGGTTGCTAATGGTGTTGGTCCATTCATGAATGAACAACCATGGACAGTGTTAGCACACAAAAAACCACAAGAAGGATGGGTGGCCTATAACCCAAGCACCATGAGGCTTCCACCTCCTGATGGTACAAAACATGTGAAAATTCTCTCGTGGAATGTTAATGGCCTAAGAGCACTACTAAAACTGGAGGGATTTTCTGCTCTTCAACTTGCCCAGAAGGAGAATTTTGATGTTTTGTGTTTGCAAGAGACAAAACTACAGGCAATAGTTCATTACCACAATCTGGCTTTCTTCAGATATGTCATGTTTTGTTTCTGTGATTGTGTTCTAAGTATGCTATAAATCCATCATTGCTTTTTGCTTTTTATCATGCTCATGATGATGGAAATAAGGGTGGTAAGATGAATAAAACCAGTTGATGTCTTTGGTTAGATCAGAACTATAAGAGAATAAAAATTAATGCTTTTGGTGGATGAGATTAACAGCACTATTAGTTATTTGCCTGTTCCATTTTCAGCTATTTAGATAAGAAATAAACCAGGCAAAATGAGGAGTGATGTTACCTTTCATTTGTACTTTAGAAGTCTAGTCTGCTGATAAATAAGAAACAAAAACGAAAGCCCAAGTAATTCTTTGTTGGCTGTATGGTTATGTGCCATTGCAACTTAAGTTAATAAATTTGTCATGGTAACAAATATACCCTTTGTTTAATAAGTCTTTATAGTTGTCCTCTCTACATATATGATTGTATTAATTATAAGCTGGAATTATTATACGTGGCAAGTCCTAGGGATTCTTCCTGATTTAATTATCCATTTAAATCAAAGCTGCCTTGCTCATGCATCTACTTTGTATACAGTTCTCTTTTTATTTATTTTAAAGGTTTCAATCTTATTTCCACTATTTTACTGTTGCTAACACTCAAATATGGTTCAGACTAACTAGCAAATCCAGAAGAAGATGAAGAAGAAGCTGGTCCCCACTATTCAACTACAGCGTATTTTTAATCAAGTTGTATACAACATATTTATAAAATTCATTTTCTGACCAGGCACATTAAGAATTGTAATAATATTTTTTTTTTGGATTGCTAAGTGAAATTCATTGGTCGAAATTGGTGCACAAGGTTTTATGTTCTACATTAAGAGTTGTATGTCTTCCCTCACAAAATGAAACGTATTTGGTATAAAAATAGGTGGAACCTTCAGGTTATTCGTCGTAGTTAAGCCAATATTTACTCCTGTGACATTTTATGAACTTTAAGTGTTGCAAAACGGATTTTTGCTTATTATATTCATTATGTCAATTTATACTTGTTTATGTCACTTATTGCTGCAATTTCATTGGTTTTCTCTTGGTTTTCTTGTTTATGCAGGAGAAGGATGCGGAGAAATTTAAACAATCCCTAATAGATGGTTATGAAAATAGCTTCTGGACGTGTAGCAGTTCCAAGCTTGGTTATTCGGGTACTGCAATAATCTCACGGGTATGTTGGTTCTCTTCAGTACTTCCAGATGTGCTTGTCCACGAACGGATGAGGAAGCCAGAAACCTGTAGCACACTTGATGTTGAATTATTAGATCTGCTATATATACTATTGCATACTGAATATTTCTTACAAAGTTTTTTGTCCAAAAAAGATAAAGAACTTACATATCAAACACTTGGAATTTCTGTTATTATTTTTACATTATTATTATGTGTTTTTCTGGTTTTGCTTTTGGTAGATTGAAAGCCATAATCTCTGAAGTCTTTTGAGGCCTGTCCTAGTTTAGCAGGCTAACGTGTGACCTGTCTACACTTGCAATTCCTATTACTTTAGGGGCATGCCGGTTGTTTGGATGGAACCTGGATGTGTTTTAGATAATCAAGGGCCCATTTTTTATAATTTTTTTCTCACTAAATAGACCCTATTTTTCCTGCCTGTTTTTATACCAACAGATAAAACCACTTTTTGTTAAATATGGGCTTGGCTTACCTGATCACGATCATGAAGGACGGGTTGTCACAGTGGAGTTCGATACATTTTTTTTGATAAGCAGCTATGTACCTAATTCCGGTGAGGGTCTCAAGAGACTGGTATGTGACTCTTATACTTGATGCTGTAGTTTTGTAAGATTGACTTTCAGTTTGGCTAGTCTAATTTTCAGCTTAAGACTAATGCCCTTTCTTTTGGTGGTAGACTTATAGAATTGAGCAATGGGATCCATCACTGAGCAACTACGCAAAAGTAAGTAAATTTCTTAAGTTTGTTCTCATTATTTAAGGTTTCCTGCTGATGATACTCCAACAAGAAATATATACAATACCATGTAAAAACTTCCCTGTATATTATAGCATGCAATGCAGTCATCTATAGTAAAGAGTATCTAAGCAGGCAATGGTCACTGTATGACCATATATTTATGGAGGGGAAAGGTCTGAACGGTGTCTAAAAACAAGTGGGCTGATTACAACTTAGCATCACTAAAATTGAATGGCTGAATTACCATCTATACATGTAAATGTTGCAAGTGGATGTTCTGCTTACGGGTTTATCCTTAGGCTTTTTTCCTGAACGTGTTACCAATTTTATTAATAAGTTGTATTGATACAAGAGCGAGGTCCCTCAAAATGGGACCAAAGACGAAAACAACAAGAAAGGCAACCCCCTAGGGCACCCAGATAAAACTGGAATACTAAATCTCCTTAAGAAAGCTCGTTTTTATCACTGTTTTTTATTTTTTCAGATGTAGTTGTTAAGATGAGCGTTCACAACTTATGAGCTGGATGCCTTTGTATCGTTTCTAAATGAAAATGTTTTTGAGTGTTTACAGAGATCTTATATAATTCCACATCCAACTCACTGCTCTTTTGATTGTGGCATGTGCTTGGATTAACTAAATTGCTTTCTTTATGCAGGAATTGGAGAAGTTCAAGCCTGTCATTTTAACTGGTGATTTGAATTGCGCTCATCAAGAGATCGACATTCATAATCCATCTGTAAGCAACTTATGACCTTGTTCCTTATTCTCAGCCATAAAAGTAACCTGTTGTTCAAGCTCGTAGTTTATCTAAGTAAGCTCCCTTTAATTTATTGAACGCATTGTAGTTCAAGGTTTTTTCTTTCACTACACAAGCAGGGTTGTGCTGGTATCTCACCCATTATTTTTTCTTTTTGAAACAGCCCCCAACATTATATTAATATGGATGAAACATTCTGCGTTATGACATTTAGAAATATCCTCACTACAAGTATCTATCTTTCCATATACATTGCATTAGTGGCAAACCTAACCAACATGTCATTTTATGTTTGTCATTTTATATTTGATGTAAGAAATGGAGAGATTATATACCTTATATTATTCTTTTTGTCATTATTTGTTTTTTTTAACTCTGGAGAGTTACTCGAACTTGCCCAATTAGCTCACCTCGGCCAATGGGTGAGTTCCCTGGCTAAGTTGAGTCCCGGTAGCTTGGTTCAAGTTATTATACTAAAGAAATATTTCTTCTAGTTTATTTCTTGGTTATGCATCACATGCCTCTAATTTATGAAGATCTTGCTTCCTGCAGATTCCATTTTGTTTTATGCTAATTATAGAAACCTCAGAATGTGGCCTAGACAACTTGAATGTGAATTCCAACACTTTTATCTTCTTCTTTTTTTTCAATTTTTTTTTTTTCCTTTTTCTTTTTCATTTTTTTTTCCATGAAAGTAAGAATATATGCCTTTGCTCCTATTTTATTTTAATAAACCTTTGCTTTTACTTACTAGTTTTACTATAGTAAATTGTAGGAACCAGTGGCTGGTAATTCAAACATCTTGTCTGGAATTTGAGTGACTTTTTTCGAACTTTTACAGGGAAATCGCCGAAGTGCTGGATTTACAGATGAAGAAAGGACATCCTTTAGAACAAATTTCTTGGCCAATGGTTTTGTGGATACCTTTCGTCGACAACATCCTGGTGTGGTTGGCTACACCTACTGGGGATATAGGCATGGTGGGCGTAAAACCAACAAAGGTGAATAAGAATACATGTCTTTTATTCAAAAAAAAAAAAAGAACCCATGTATTTTAACTTTATCAGAATCTATTTGAGATTACTTGATGTCGTAAAAAAAATTTAATAGGCTGGCCTGGAGATTTCGGGTTGAAAAACCTTATAATTGCCTGAATTTCCTGTTTTTCATAATATTTAAAATTTTCTTTTCAAAAGTTACCTTGTCTGACTTGAACCCACCCGAGTGTACCTGGGCAACTCAGTCTTGAGTCTCTAGCGAGTTGGAGCTCGAATCTGACTTTTTAGACACTGCTTGAAATGCATTGGTACTTATATATGCAGAGCTATTTGAGCTACTTGTTATTAGTTTGTTTACGAAAAGATTGTTCCATTACTCTCCATTTTTGTTACTTGTTTCAAATTGATCTTCATTGAAGTTAAGTGTACTGAAAGCACCTTTAGATGGAATTGCATTATGGATCCCATCAGATTCATCCAGGTAAAATATTCTTGGGAAAAGGACACGGTTTCTATTTGAGTCCATGTAGAAATGAGTCCTCTCTTGAAAATCTATTTTTGAGATGGATTTTTGGACCCAATTTTTAAGGACATATAATGTTTGACATGGAGATCATGAATATGAAAAAATAAATAAATTTTAAAAATTAAAATAATAATTTATGAAGAAAACATTTGGACAGTTAGATTCAATTGTTTTTAGATGGACCACCTATTTGCAATCCATCTTTAAGATGAATGCTTTATACCTCAGAGGACGCAAATGTTGAAATGCATTCCCTGACGCATGAAACAATTTTCCTTGGGAAAATATCACTGAACTGGTCAAACTACTTCAAAAAATCAATGAACTGATTTAACCAACCAATTTACCAAAGAAGTGATATTTTCTTTAAAAAAAAAAAAATTCATTTCACCGATTTGGTCATTTTTTACACAAAATTCTTTTGTACGTAAATGCGAGGATTTCAAAAAAGTAACTTTGTTTAAAACTGTTGATTCAACCACCTTATTGATTTTGGGAGTTAATTTGACCATTTTAAAGGTATTTCCCCTGAATACTTTATTACTAATGCATTTATTGATTATCTCTTTAATGCATTTATTAAAACTGTTATTTGCCTCTTTAATATGCAACTTTATGGAAACCCAATATGGCATTGTCAAAATCTTTTGCACATGATTTTAAGAGTTAAAGAGGCTGGACCAGTGTTTGGGTTGGAATAATTAGTTGAACATTGTTCGAAATCATGTTATTGAACAGTATTTTGTTTTTCATACATTGTCTGCAATTCACTGTTTGATTCCTATGCATCTTCTATTGTTTATTTGATCAATGAACCGTGGAAAATTCAAAATTACACAATTATGTTTCCGCCATCAGGCAAGAATATTTCGGCTGTTCGCCATGAATATCAGATTTGCTCTCTCTCTTTCTCTAAACTACAATCCTATGTTCTTGGGACATGTTACAGGTTGGCGGCTTGACTACTTCCTCGTTTCGGATTCGATTGCCGACAAAGTTCACGACTCCTACATTCTTCCTGAGATTGATGGTAGTGACCATTGCCCCATAGGCCTAACATTGAAGCTCTAAATTCATATCCAAATTTGCATCGTTTTGTGTATTATTTTGCTCCAGTTTTTCTGGTCTCCTCTTTGTTGAAGAATCTGTTCAAGAAGCGTGTCCATGGAAATGGTTGGGATTTGCTTGGTGTGAAGATGGAACATTTCAATTTTGATGTCAACTTCAGTAATTTATGGGTCAGGACTCTCTTCCATTTATTGTCTATTAAACGCGGTAGTGGAGTTTAGAATATATTGTATCCAAGATTGCTAGATCTTAGAGAGGGAGGTGTTTTTTTTTTTTTTTTGTGCAAGTAATTGAGTGGGTAACACATGCCCTAAATGTTTTTTGTTTTTTCAAATAGTTTAGGAGTTAATTTTATTTTTTAAGTATTAGTATGGTGGTGTTAGTAAGAATGGAAACTACATGAAAGTATAAGGTTGCTATCACCACAACCCCGGCTTTTTTACCAAGGTGGGGGATTAGATTATAGTTATTAGGATTAGGGGTCCACTAGACCCGTGATTTGTTTGACCTGGTTGGCCACATTATAGAAAACATAAACAATTAGATTATTGTAGTAAAATGTTTTAACTTTGTCTAGCTGGTCCAACCGGAAAAAAATTGAACAATCCGACCAGCCAAAATATTTAAATATTGACTTTAACTAGGTATTGATTTTAATTGGTTTAAGACCAAATTATAAGTTTTGCTTTACCAAATCAAATCAGTAGCCCAACCAATCGGACCAGGTTGTTGGCCCAATCTTAATAACTATAGTTTAAATTGAATTTTCTTTATTATTATTATTATTTTATTCCAAAATTTGTAGTAATATCAAAAGAGAGGCACGCAGATAGGATGAATGCTGAGAGAGAGAGAGAGAGTGTGCGTGCTTGGAGAGAGAGAGTTAGATGCATGGTTGCTTGGAGAGGGAGAGAGTTTAGATGCATGCATTTGTGAGAGCGCGCAGTTCCCTCAAAAGAGTCAAATGACAGCAACACAAAAGGATGACCGCAGATGCATTATAGTTTATAAACGATCAAGTTGGTTTGACGTGCAGCATTCAAGACTTAGTTTTATAGATGACCAGAATCCAGACGCAAATGCTGCAGAGTGTTGGTGAAAAGGAAAGAATGCAGTGCATTTAAACTTTCATTCAAGTGATGAACCATTCTAACATGCATTGAAAAAGGAAACAAAGTCTAGAGAGAGAGAGAGAGTGCGCGCCTAATCTTACAGAGACTATCACCAGGAATTATATCATGTGTGGAGTGTACGTGTGTGAGAGAGATTAATCTTAGAGAGAGACTATCACCAGGTATTAGATCATGTGTGGAGTGTGTGTATGTGTGTGTGTGAGAGAGAGAGAGAGGGAGATGCTTTCTCTAATCGATAATATATCCATATCCATGGGCAAAACAGAAACAGCAATGGAACACTAACCATATGGAAAAATTCAAAGTAAGATGCATTCCATTTAACAAATCTCTCAAAAGGGTGAAATTCAAGAAAACCTGCCAGTTTTGTGCATCAAAAATCTGTGTCACATGAAGAAGAAAAACACTGCCATGCGTGAATGCGTAACAACACAATGCTTCACCAATCTGAACCATCCGGGAAGGCCTTGAGGGCATCCTGTTTCCCATTAACATAGTACTCAACAATGGCCTTCATCCGAGGAAGCTTGTCGGGGTGGTAATTAACATGAAGAACCACAGGCTTATACTGTGCAAAATTATGCTCGTGCCTCAAAATTTTGAACAAAACCTTGCTATTCATGAAGAGATAGAAATCCATGGTCCTCCTCGATGCATGAAGGCCATCATAGCCCGGATGAGAAGGAAAGTAAAGCTCCTCATTGAATACAGCTTGGTCCCATAATTTGGCCTTTGAAAGCCTATCGGCCACCCTATCCAGAAGCTCAATAGATGGGATAGTTGGCCTGATATAGAAGAAACCTGAGTTATAGACCCATATACGCATGGTATGTGCAAATCTAGCCCAACCCATCTTAGGATCCTCAGACACATCATTGTACCCATATGCAGTCATGTTGTCATGGCCATCGCTCATGGATTCCACATCGCAATCTCGGTAGAGATGGTCAAATGGGTTTTGGAGATAGACTATGTCGATATCAGAGAGAAGAACACTATACCCAAGCTGTAAAAACTCTCTCAAGATCTGGAACTTCAGTCCCGAGATCGCATGGTTGCTTGCTGTTCTAAGAACGGAGTCCACTTTATCATCAGGGTCCCTCTTATATGCGGGAACTCCCTTGGACTCGCAGTATTTCAGAGTGTCATCATCTAATGCCACGACAAGATAGTTGGGTATGCCCACTCTTTTAATACTGTCGGACCACACATTTAACATATCCCTAACATGAATATCAGCTAATGCAACGATGAGCTCCCTATTGATGGCCACCTTCTTGAGTAACTTGGCAAGCCTAGGGTTGACAGTTTCATCGGGAAGGACAGTGGGATTGGTTCTAAGGCTCTTGACTGTGCCTACAGGCCCAGCTTTATGCTGTTTCCCTAAGACTAGGAACTGCTTTTGAGCTTGATCCTTTCCTTGTTCTTCTTGCTGAAGCTTCAGGGTTAGTTCCCTCACCTGTTTCTTTAATCCTGCATTCTTCTCCATTAGAGAGTTTACCTCTGATTTCAATAGGTTGGTACGCTCTGATGATTCGCAGGGTGCTGAGCTAACCTATGCATTGAAAGTTAATGCATAATAAGAAGCAGATAAAAACATATAAAACTCATGAGGCAAATCTGAATACTTTTTTTTCCCTTTTTGTGAATTGACTTACATAAACAACGCATAGAAGCATAAACAACAAAAACATTGCCTTGAGCAACTCAAAAAACAACACATAATTGACAGATAAAACCCAATAACCAAAAGCTGTGAGATTGATAACAAAAATTTTATTCAAATATATATGCCAAGAAATACTTCGGTTGTGAGCCATATAGCTATAGATCACATCAATATCAAGAGCACAATATTTAGGAGACCATTTACACAGATGCCACAGTTAACAAGAAAATTTAGGAGAATAACAAACATGAACAGGAAAATTTACAGTGTAATTCCATAATTGTTGGGTTAAAAGGTTAAGTTCCTACCACTAGCAACATTCCGTTGCGCAACTTTAAAAAAAAAAAAACAAGTCATGTATTTTGCATGATTTTACCAAAAACAATTAACTGACCAAAGGCTAGATCTTCATTTTTCCAACAGGGTAACATGCATTTCCATCTGTAATTACAACTATAAGGGCCCTTTTGGGTCCTTGAAAATTAATTTCTAGGATATTCTACCCTGGAAATGAGGCATCTCTAATGATTGACACCCAAATAGGGGGGAGAAATCTTCATTCCATTCAGTTTTTACCTTCTTTTTGGGAAAAAGATCTTCCAAAGTAAATGGTGCAAAACAATTTTCTCTGAAGACGAATCTTCTTCACCCGGATTCATCTCTCTCCTACAAACCCATGCCCTCTCTCTCTTGCGAACCCTCTCAATCATTTCTCACTCCTCGAGATACTCAAGAATGTTTTTTCGATGGAACCAAATGGACCTGAAGGAATCGCTAAATCACTTAAAAAATCACATTCGTAATATAAATTCATACAGCATTTGGGCCGAACCATCTCAAGATTCATTTCTTTCTTTCTTCGATCAGTTCCTCTCTTTTTTTCCTTTTTTTTTTTATTGATGAACCACCTTTGAAATTAAAATACCATTCGCTATTGGCATAAATTCCACAAAAAGCCATCCGAAGGTTCATTTCTTTCTTTTTCTGATGAGGAAACAGAGATATGAAAATCACTATTTCAACAAATTCCTTCATTCATCAAATGAAGTAAAAGTTTTGTCCCAAAGGTGTTAAACCATAAATTGCAGAAAATGAAGGTCACCCAATTTAAGACAACTGTGGATTCAGCCTCAAATTGCTAAGCATTCCAGGTATTGTTCACGAAAATCAATCTCTCTATACACTAACCGTAACAGATTCAATGATTCCCCAAATTTCATCACCTTTCCATGGAAATTCTAGAGGAATCCTATATATAGATTTGCAGAAAAACTATGAAGAAGAGGCACCATGAAATCTGATATCTTCAACGAGATCCAAAAATGCTGATCAATCTGAGCAAGCAAAAAATTCTAGAGCAAAAACGCTTACCTGCAAAGAGGACCTTTGCTGCTGTGTTTGAGGAGTTTCTGATCTGAAGAATCCATGGGGATAAGCAAAAGCAAAGATACAGCCAACAAAAATACCAGCACCAACGGCCATGGCCAGCCTTGAGACACGTATCCCCTGCGAACCACCCCTCAATAGAGTCTCTCTTCTCCCCGTCATGGCTATGGCCCCAATACTGTTGCAGGTTTAGTGATCAGAAGCCCGATCAGGAGGAGAGATCACAGGTGCGAGTTCAGAAACCCTATAAACTCCATTTTTTCCCTGTTTCGTGCAAAGATCGATTGCTAGAAGAGAGGGAGATAGATCTCCATCTCTTGTTTGAGGCGAATTCAATGGCGAAAGCTTCAGGAGAAGTGCGTCTAATAGAGAGAGAGACAGAGAGAGCGCTTTAAGTCAACAATTCAGGTATCAGAGGGTTGCAAGACTGTCTTGACTCAGTTAATTTTTGAGAGAGAGATTTCACTTTCTTACAAAAGAAGCAGTTTTTATGAGAGAGAGAGAGAGAGAGATAGGCGCAAAACCTTGACTCAGTGAATTTTGAGAGAGAGTCGAGCGGGTGGATTTAGAGAGAGAAAGAGCAGAGCGGGTCAAACTGCTCTCTGTGAAATTAAATACAACTCAAGGAAACTGGAATCCAAGGGGAACTCTTGTCTGAAACGTGATAAATACCCCGTTTCTATGCGGCCAAATAAGCGATATACAGGAAAATTTATCAAAATAACGCAAGCGATTAACTATTTATATTATTTGCAAAATTGTTTCCTGCTGGCTGAACCGCATTTCTACATATGCGGTCCAGAAAGTGTGAAGCATCCATCTTTATGATGGATCCAAGTAGGTGTTCCATCTAAAAAAAAATGGAAACTAGTTGTCTAAATGTTTCTGTACTAGAATTATTATTTATAGTTTTTAAATTTTATTTTTATTTTTATATTCATGATCACCATATTAGAGATTACATGTCTTTAAAAATTAAGTTTTAAAATCCATCTCAAAAATAGATTTATTAGGAAGCCCGCATTGCTACATTTGCGGGCTTGACCACATAGAAACCGGGTCCTTGATATTTTGAAGGGTGTGGTTTCTATAAGGTTATAACCTTAAACACTCCAATTAAGTTGCACATCCAAAATTTATCATAACATGTAATTTTTTGGTGAAAAATATTGTTAGTGTTAGCTTAAAATCTATTTTTATATCTAATTATAAAAATTTAAACTCCAAAAATGGATAAAATCAAATAGATCTATAAACATATGAAAATATTGAAAATGGATGGTCTAGAGACAAAATCTTTTATTTACTTCTGTTTTCCTCTATATTCATACATCTCGACGTCGAGATGATCAATTAGAAGGGTTTTTCAACATTAAAATAACATTTTCAGTTGGATTTTTGAGATGCATCTTTAATTCTGCATTTTAAGATTGCAATCTTATATAAATTTTTTCTTTAATATTTGAACAAGGTTTTTATGAGTCGGCTGACTCACCTGTTCAAATGAGTCCTCTCTCTAAAATCTATTTTTAAATATAGATTTTAGATTCAAAATTTAGAAGACTGTATAATCTATATACCGATAAGTAGTAACTTGAAAAAAAAAATTTAAAACAAAAAAATAAAAAGTTTTGGCATAATTTTTACACTGTCGATGTTAAAACTTTGATGTTAAAACTTTTTGGAACAATTATTTTCCAACGCCCATCTCCACGATAGATTTTTCATGCATCAGGAATGCAATTAAAGAAATGCCTCACCTGACACATGAATAACTTTTTGTAATATTTTTCTATAATTCTTATTTAATTTCAAAGTACCAATCAAAATATAATTATTGATCTGAAATTAAAAATAAAGAAAGTAAAAGGTTAAATAATAAAGTATTTTGATAAATTTCCCTATTATTAGATATCCAAGGTTTGAAATTATGAACAAGTGTGTTATGATGATTGCACATATATATGCATTGCCAAATTACTAAAATGTCACAGCTTGTCGAGGATTTCAAACCCCAAAACAAGAGATTTTAATGGAAAATATCAATACATAATCTAGGTTTGGAGCCCATAATAATTGCGACTAGTCTCAGCATTTTGCTTAGACCACTTAAATGATAAACTTTTGTATAGAGCCAAGACTCTAAACAATCGGAATAAAGTCACTTTCAAATAGCGTCGAGATATATGGTTTTAATATTAGAAATATTTGTCGTAGTTTCAAAATATATTTTTATTTTTAATTATAAAATTTAAAGCTTCAAAAATAGTATAGATTAAACTTAAAAATCTTGAAAATTGACTGTCGAAAAATACATTACAAGATGCACTATTTCCAAAACTTGAAATCTTTTTATTTTATTTTTTTTGTTTCTATGTCCATGCATCTTGATGTCGAGATAATCACTTTGAGAATATTTGGACATCAAAACAACTTATTTTAGTGAAATTTTTGAGGTGGCTCTAATTTGGTTGTTTAAAGCCTCGCTTTATATGAACTTTTTCTATTTAAAAAGGCATTTGCTAGTTCTAAGTTTAAAAATAAATTTTATTTTTCGATTGGGTCCGAGTCTGGCCGAACCCGACATGACCGAACCCATTGCCACCCCTACTTTCTCTCTCATAATCTATATCTCTCTCTCTCTCTCTCTCTCTCATTCAATTTGGCATAGGGAGTTGGTAGAGTTGGATTCTCCTTAAAGCTATAATTTTGTGTTTCATTGGAATGTATTGTATTTATTATTTTTGAAGGGGGCCAGGCCAATGCGTGCTCATGGAACTTGTCTCGTCTCTCATAAGAAGACATAAGCATCGGACATTCACGTTATCTAAAGAGACGAATTTGGTGGATGTCCCGTTGTCTTTTTATGTATAAAACGTGAGGAGGTAAATTCATGTTATCTAAAAAGACGAATTCATATAAAACGTGGGGAGGTTTGTGACCAATAAAAAATAAGGCCGTGACCACTTGCGTGGCGCAACACGTGCCCCCTGCAAACAAACAAACCAGCAAGCAAGCAAGCAAGCAAGCTTGCTTCTTGTCTTGTACACTGCAAATCAAACGATTTGAAACCCAAAACCCCATGCCACACACACTCTCTCTTTCTCTCTCTAAACCCCATCTCCAGACCCTCGTAGTAGGCAGGCCCAAATGGAATTCCGCAGACAATTCAACAACCGTCCACTTTCTCTCTCTCATCTCCCGCCTCTGCAAAGCCCGAGATCTCTCCCAGGCCTTCTCTCTCATCACCCAATTTGAATCCCAAAGCACCCCAATTCAGCCCCACATGTATGCCCCCATATTCATGGCCTGTACCGGTCCCGCCTCTCTAAAACCAGGCCTCCAAGCTCACGCCCACATGACTCTTCGCGGCCTCCAGCCCGACTCCTTTGTAGCCGCAAAGCTCGTGGCCATGTACGCGAGTTCCCGTGATGTAATCGCAGCTCGTTCAGTCTTCGACCGAGTCCACGAGAAGACCTCTCTCTTGTATAATTCAATGCTGAGAGGCTATGCAACATGTGGCTTTCCACTAGAAAACCTTCAAATTTATACACAAATGCACAAAAGTAGATCCCCACCTGATAATTTCACATTTCCATTTCTTTTGAAATCGTGTGCGGATTTGAATTGGGATTTCAATGGGAAATGCATGCATAACCATTGCTTGAGGGCCGGCCTCGAGACCGACTTGTATGTTGGCACATCTATCATAGGCATGTATGCCAAATGCGGAGACATGAGCGATGCGACGAAGCTATTTGATATAATGCCCGTTAGAGATGTGTCATCATGGAATGCGTTGATCAATGGGTACATGAAGTGTGGTGACATCGATTCGGCAACCAATTTGTTCCATGAAATGCCTGAGAAAAATGTGGTCTCATGGACTTCTATGGTTGCAGGGTTTACACAGAATGGATTATCTGATCGGGCCATAGACTGCTTCAATGCCATGAGACAATTGGGCCCTACACCCAATTGGGTCACTGTAATGAGTGTCCTTCCGGCTTGTGGCCACTCAGCCGCTCTTGACCAAGGAAACGAAATCCATGAATATGCAAATTCAATTGGGCTTTCGGGCCACCCATCGGTTCAAACTGCCCTCGTAGCCATGTATGGACGGTGCGGTAGTTTAGACCTAGCCCAAGAGGTTTTCGAAAAAATTACACTAAAGGACTTGGTGGCTTGGAACACGATAATCACGGCTTATGCCTCACATGGCCATGGCCATGATACAATTTTTGCATTCGAGGAGATGTGTGAGCATGGGGTAAGGCCCGATGAGGTAACATTTATTGCACTTTTAACAGCTTGTAGCCATGGAGGGTTAGTGGAGAAGGGTCAAGCCTACTTTGAGCTCATGGCTCCAGCTTATGGTGTGCGCCCTAGGCTTGAGCACTATGCTTGCATGGTTGACCTCCTTGGAAGGGCAGGGCAATTGATCAAAGCCAAGAGCTTGATCGAAACCATGGATGTCGAGCCAGGCCCATGTGTGTGGGGTTCGTTACTTGCCTCTTGTCGAGTCCACCGAAACCTAGAGATAGGAGAGCTTGCAGCCGAGAAACTCTTTGTTTTAGAGCCTCAAAATACGGGGAACTACGTGCTGTTATCAAATATATATGCGGATTTGGGAAGATGGGTAGAAGTGAATAGGCTGAGGGTTCGACTGAAGGAGTTGGGCTTGAAGAAAAGCCCAGGTTGTAGTTGGATAGAGATCAATAAAAAGGTCCATGGCTTTGTAGGGGGAGACAAGTCACACCCTCAGGCTCAGGAAATCTTCACATTCTTGCGAGGCCTGCCTTCGAAAATTATGGCATCGGGTTATTCGCCTGATACGAGTCTGGTTTTGCATGATGTTAGTGAAGAGGAGAAGGAAGACAGTCTTGCGAGCCATAGCGAGAGGCTTGCTATAGCATTCGGTATCCTCAATACAGGGCCGGGAACTGTGCTTAGGGTTACAAAGAACCTTAGGGTTTGTGGTGACTGTCATATGGTTGCAAAGTTCATTTCGAAACTATATGGGAGAGAGATTGTTTTGAGGGATGTGAGCCGCTTTCACCATATTTCACAAGGGATCTGTTCTTGTAAAGATTACTGGTGAACAATGGGGATCCCTGTTTCATTAATTTATTTATGAGCATTGTGGGTTTGGGCCTCTTGGCTTAGTGGTTAGGCCATAAGGCCATAGCATGAACATCCCAGGTTCAAATCGTGTCTTACCCAATGAAGTAGAGAGCACACCGCGAGGGACTATATGAAGTAGCGATCAGTGAACCTACCTCTCTTGAATCTGACATTTCTATACATATTTATTCTTCTTTTTTTTTAATGTTAAACAGTAATTTCATTGACTGAATGAAAGAATACAACGGGAAGTACACAACGAAGTAGAAAAGAGAAAAAGGTAAGAGAGATATAAGGTGAGAGAGGAGGATGAAAAGAAAAACAAAATAACAAAATAGAAAAGAACAAGGAGGCTGAGGGGTTAGGAATTGAAGAAAAGGTGGGATGTTTATGCTGTGATCATTTTTTCTTGGTCTGTCTGCTGCTCCATTCTTTTCTCTGATATGGTTGAAGATAACCTCATTAATGTCGCAGAATTGAAGCTGGTAAGTCCAAATATTTTTTCTCACTTACATTCTATGTTCTTGGCCTAAAAGTGGCCAATGTGCAGACATTCAACATAAGGAGCTTGTCATTTCCTTGAAGTTTCATGGGCAGCTTTTTGCAGTCTTTAGATTTTCTTTGTATAATCAGCAGTCATGTGGATTAGGTCTCCAGGATCTGGTTTTGGAAGTCTCTCTCTCTCTCTCTCTCTCTCTCTCTCTCTC